CCATGCTACAACAGAACTGGTTGAGACAAATTTATTATTGATCCATTCAAAGTAAATTTATTTATGTAGAACAGTTATCTTTGAACAATCACTGATCTTCAAGTTATAGTATCAGTAAAATGAGTCAATTGTCCATCTTAAGTAGGGCATTACAACTGAACATGAAGTTTGATGGTAAGATTATTTCTTCTACAAAAATGAAAATGACATATGAAAAGTAACCTATTTAATGTTATCTCAATTATCTAACTACCAAGTGATCTTTTTTAGTTCAGTCTTAATTGAGCTAGTATATTCATATTTCTGAAACGTTTCATACTAGAACAAAACATCTATCCTTTGTGTTTAGCTTTTTGATTATACTCTAACTAATCTTAAACCCATCATTGGTGTCTTCAAATTCGACAATCTTCAAAAGATCCTATAATATATTCTATGTTAATACATTTACAAGATAAGCCGAATGATATATTCACCTTATTCATAATTAAAAATTTACCGATTGTCTTACAAATCTGAATAATTAATGATTGTAGTTACTGCTAATGTAACAGTCTTTATTACTGTAACATACATATTGTTCTATATGATATGATAAATTGAAATATGACTATTAACCCATATCTATTCATTAATGATAATGACAGAATAGATAACAAAAATGGTTTGTTATGTATTATACCAGATAACTACATATGATACAGTCTCTGAAGATAACTATATCAGTAGAGTTCATTAATTACATTTTGTAATTTTGATATATTTATAAATGTTAAATTACTTAATTCGTTTGTTATAATTTTACCAAAGAGATGACTAGGTATTACCTAAATCTTTCCATATGAATGAATCTCATTTTGACAAGTAAATTTTACTTTTACAACTGTGAGACTACATTTTTCTAAAATTCTGAAACAAAGTTATAAATAAAAAATGGAGGATAGTGGCTAGCAGTAGAATCCATGATGCACGTTTCGTTCTATTTCGAGCTCGTCAGATGTATGTACCTGCATCTCAGAGTTGATAATCACTCTGGAACTTGAATCTTTACTTATAAAGCTTGTGACTTAAAGTAATATCGAGGCAAACGCGATGTATGCACATATGTCAATAAGAGACTGATCAATTATAGGAAGATTCAAACAAACAATACCAAATGAATTTAAACTTTACCCCATCGTATAAGCAAGTAGCTATCAGGACCCAGTACCATTCGCTTCAGACGCAATCGCGTTGTCCACTCAGCGACTAAGTGAATAACAATACTTAGTGAATTTATGATTATAAATAGTTTTTCACTAAGCAAACTACTTATAAGTAGTTCAAAATATTGCAAGGAATTTTCAAGTTCATTCATTCAAGTAATTTTGCTACCATTTCATCTGGTATATAAATAAATGCCAGTGGAAGAATATAACTTAATAAACTTATACAAACTTTCTATACAGATTTTAAGCAGATGTAATAAATTCCGGTTTAGATATTATTTGCCATTTTAGTCTTATCTTAATGCTATCCAGTTTCTCTAGGATGAATGTGTTGATAATGATGGAAAATTTAGTGTATATTTGTTTATTAACTTCAGTTAACTTATGATATTTACATAGACCACCATTGAAGGCACTCATCGATGCATGATCTCAATCAAAATCTAAGTGATCTCCATAACTCCACGCTAATACCTAAACTTAATTATATTTTTGTGTAAGTTATGAAAATTGATTAACTTATGTCTATCTGCAATCTCCCATTTATCTTCATCACAGATAGTGGTAATTAATCTGGTTTGTTCTCTCCCACAGTAACTTATTGCTGATAGTGTCTGGTCATCTGCTGTCTGTCATCAGTATGCAACCATTTCATTATTATTAGATAATCCTCCGATATTTTTTCCTACATTACTAGTTAAAAACTGACTTTGAAGTATAAAGTGAATTCTATCAATGTGGCTTTACTGTATATTTAGTCATGTAACAATTTAACAATATCATAAACCATGAATGAGCTTATTTATATGCTTAAACTGATAAATCAGAAAGACAATAATATAAGTGATATGCTTCACAGTAAGCCATGAAAGAAATTTATTTGGCCTTCATTCAGAATATTTGTAGTGTCGGTTACTATGTTAAGTCGACATAAATTATTTTACTTTCCGGACAAACCGAAATATCCATTCTTCTTGAGTCATATTTTGACCTTCTTAATCATCCACTTATCAAACTTGACTGTTCTCATATGAGCATGTGCATACTTCTGATTCCATACACAACATATCTGCAAATTAGTTTTGTGTGACTATAAATATCGATTGACGCTTGACTAAATCGAGTTGGCTCACATACTTACTCCACCGCACGTCACTTCGCTTTACTCTCTTCACTACACTTTCTTCGCTTCGTTTCTCTGATCGTTTTTCTGGATCACTGGTTGAATGGACTAAACGTATTTAAAAATCCATTCTCGTATTTGACTTATTTAATTCCGTTACTCACTAACGCGAGTTAAGTCGATAATTATATATGAGGATTGGCGATATGTATATTTCAATAACAGTCATTGATACGATATTATTGGAGTCAGATACCGGGCTACAACAGTATTGAGCTCACCGACAACATCATCCGATCTAATTAACAGTAAAATGAAAGGCCACATATTGAAGTAGTAAGCTTATAGAGACATTTTATTAACAGACCAAGTTTCTTAACGTTAGAACAAATTTTACAAACTTGACTTCAAAAGCAATAGTACGGAATATTTCTCATGCGTTTAATATAAGCGTTACATTACAACTATTTTTAGAAAGAAAGTAACTGTTAATGTCCATAAGTTTTTCCTCAAACACACACCCACACACATACAGATAAATCAGCACATACTAAGGTTACATAATACCACACAAATAAAACCTAATTTTATCTACCTTCTAAACTCAATATAAAATCAGTTTTGGAATTACTTTTTATATTAATTTAATTCAACCATGAAACTTTACATTTTTTCTTTTTATAAATCACGAATGTTTGTCAATTCACGTGGTAACTGTAAGAGTAATTCTGTTTAAATAAGAATAGATTATGTGAGCAACTAAGCTTGGCATTACAAGATTCACTTCATTTAGGAAATGTACTTATGTGGAACTGATATAATATCATTAGTATTCAGTTGTAAAATGATTTGATATTTAGTAATTGCCGCTAGTATTTGAATTAACTATTCATTCGTAACTGAATACAATTTTCTGCACAGAATGCAATATAGTTCATTGATACTCATTCATCCAAAGTGGAAAATTGTGTAAAGTATTAGAATTTATTATATAATTAGTGTTCTGTAACTGAAATTAGAAGTAATGGTCTGCTGGGAAAATTTCATTAAAGGCAGTGAAACGATGACATGTGACGCCTAATATTTATCAGTTTATTTTATACTACTTACAAGTACCTAAAATCATATTTTAAAACTTCCTGTAATTTGCTGCCCATTTTCAAGAATTTTTGATATCTTATCGTTAATTATTGCGAAAGGCAAATTAAAATAACTAAAATCCATATAAAATCCTATAATGAAGTGTTTGATATATTTTCAAATACGTCAAGTCGTTAAATTTAATATTGGATTTTTTTTAATTCTAGGATTTGTCACAATAAGGTTTTGTGAATATTGTAGCAATTATTTTTAATAGTTGAATTCATGAGTCCATTAAAGCTAGACCATCATGGGAAACCTGGAAGTATTAAACGTTTGTCTCGTGCTAGTATAAGAATTCTCAGCGTTTGAGATCTTAAAAATGTTTTTTCTAAGGAGTCACATACTAGGTTCAAATGGATGTCCAGTGCTTCCAGGTTTTCCATGGTGATCTAGCTTTAATCGACTGATGATTTCAACTATTTAAGATTTGTATTGGAATTAAATACATTGAAAACTTGATGTTATTTAGCAACAGTATTTTTCTTCTCTTATCAATAAACAGCATATTCATATCAGTTTTCTTTCATCTTAATAAAATCTGTCTGGTAGTATAAAATTGTATAGACTGATACATATTTTTAGGATAAAAATGATCTCTTTTAAAATTGGCCCCCGAACGCCCTAGTATGGCAGACAGTGGTGAGAGTACACTTTCCCTCTCGAAATGCTCTCACATGGCCACGCGTATATAGCCTCTGTCAGGGAAGTCCTACTCACTGCATTCTCTTAACGGGGTAGTTGTCTAAGAAATCGAGAGGACGAAAAGCGAATGTCCGGCGCATTAACCGGGTTGGTGGACACGGAAAGTCCTCCTAGGGGAGTTGGAAAACCCTGATTCCAAACCAATCGTTCACATGGTCTCCCATATCCTGAAGGAACAAATGGCGTATGAATCAATCGTTGGTCACCGGCTATCGTGGGACTGCATCTCCTTACGATGCCCCACTGCTTTATGGATCAGATCTTTAGGTCAAAGGCTCCGGATGTGGACCCCCCCAAATAAAACCACCTGTTTCATTTTGGGCACCCAGGTAGTATCACAGTCCTCACACAAATCAAATGAGATTTGTGTGGAGCATATATATCTGGTGCCCCTTTGTACCAATATTTATGTGATTAAATAATAAATAAATAAATATCTTAATTATCAGAAGGGGTTTTTGTGGAGATTTTGTATTTTTCATGGTTGAACGCGTGAGTCAATTGAAGCTAGACCACCATGGAAAACCCGGAAACACTGGACGGCCGTTTCGTTGGATGCCAGCTCAGTGATCTATCGGTTAAGGGCTTTGGCAGGTCCTGGGTGCGAATCTCGCTAGTGCGGGTTCGTGGATGCGCACTGCTGATGAGTCCCATAATAGGACGAAACAGCCGTCCAGTGTTTCCAGGTTTTCTATGGTGGTCTAGCTTCAATTGACTAATGCTTTTAACTATGAAAAATAAATACCTCTTAAGTTTGATGCTAACTTTTCTTCTACATTTTTTTCTTTTCATCATTGTCATTTATCAACATTACCATTATAAAGAATATAAACCTAAAGCAGAATTATGTGGAAATGGTAATCTATGTCTTTATGGAGGAAAATGTTATGATCCACTAGATCATTATTATCGATCAAAAATGATAATAAAAAAAATTTTACCATTATATTCCAATTGTATATGTGAACATATTAATTGTTTAAATGATTGGCCTGATCCAGTATGCGCAGATGATGGTGAAACTTATACAAATCAATGTTTTTTAAAACGTACAATTTGTGAAACTCAATCATTAAAACGTATACTTTATCGAGGCAATTGTGGTAAGCAAATTTCTCTTTTTTCTTTTAAATTCTTGAAGGAATAAATAAACAAATATTTTTCTATATGGTAATTGAATGTCATAAATAAGATCTGTGGTGTATCGTTGATATGTACTGCTACGTCCATGCTAGGATGTGACAGTTGTCCAAGACTTTCTGATTTTCAATGATTTTCTAGCTAAGATCAGTTCATTATTTATAGGCAAACTTTACAACTACCATAGTTACTTACCTATTTACTTATGACTGTTACTCCTAATGGAGCACAGACCGCCAAACAGCGTTCTTCAACCCACTCCGTCCTGGACCTTCCTTCCTAGTTCCATCCAATTGTTGTTCATTCTTCTCATGTCTGTCTCCATTTCTCGGTGTAATGTGTTCTTTGGTATTCCTCTTTTCCTCTGACCTTCAGGATTTCATGTGAAGCCTTGTCTTGTGACGCAGTTGGGTGATTTCCTTAATGTATATCCTATTCAATTCAAGCATTTCTTCCTAATTTCTTCATACGCTGGATGGAATCTGGTTTGTTCTCTCCCACAGTAGAATGTTGCTGATAGTACAACTTCCATAGTAGAAAAGTAATATTCGTTACATGTTGCATAATACCAAACGATAAATTATTTGAATGGTTAAAATTAAGATATACAAGTCTTAAAGAAGAGGGTCAAATAGAATAAAAAAACATCAAGAAAAGTATGATGATATTATGAACGATTTTTTAATGCAAAAACCTATGATATTGAGTCAGTTCACTATCACCATCTGTATGTAAAAGGAACACATTTAAATCTGGCTGGATTGTTGTAATTCCATTAAATAATCATATAGCGAAAGAATATGCAGTTATCTATTTCTATATACATATACCGTACTATTCATTCTGCAAAAGTGATAGTTTAAAATGTCTCAGTTTCACGTTCTTTCACTAGCATAGCACCTTGAAATTTACTAATCAGTAATTTAACAAAATACTATTTTGGAAATAAGTAGTGTAGTATCAGTTTATTTGTTAAGCCCATATACTTTATCCTAGCTACTGGCCAAGCCAATTCGCCTGTCATGAGTCATATTTTGATCTTGTTAATCATTTGCTTATTAACCTTGACTATACTTTTATATGAGCATATATGTGTACACTTCGTATCTTATTCATCGTATGTCTGTCACTCATTTTTGTCCGACTATAAATGTTGATTAACGCTTGCTTAAATCGAGTTGGCTTACCAGCCATCTCTGCAATACGCATCATCTTTCGCCTCGCTCTATTTCTTGCCGCTCACTCGCTCGTTCATATTCGCTCAGGTGTTGTTAACTTTCTAACCTGAGTTATTCGACAATAAACTGTAGTTGCTGCTATCCTTCGTCTTCTGATTTTACGCACTGTTAAGTTTAGAATTATACCGGTTATCGAAATGAACTATTATTGAAGAACGGCACTACAGTAGTACGTTTTAACAAACGATAAATTTTTTATCGTGTTACACAAACTTTAACTAGATGTCTTTAGAATAAATACAAAAACTTAAAAGAGTAAACAACTAGTAGGATATTCATTATGTAATGTTACATTACTTTAAATTCACTTCGTATTGTTTGTTTAAATCTTCCCATTGATGTTTTAGGACTGCAACTGGTCAGTCTCTAATTGTCATATGTGCATACTGTGCGTATTGCCTCGATATATCTTAAATTCACAAGCATGGTAAGCAAAGATGGATAGTGGCTAGCAGTGGAATTCAGGACTCGCGTCTCGTCCTATTTGAGACTCGTCAGTTGGATGTACCTGTATCTCAGAATTGATGTTCACTCTGGGACTCGAACCCAGTACATTTCACTTCAAACGTTATCGCGTTATCCACTCGGCCACATTACGTTACTTCGTCAGTACATTCCATTACAAAGTACACATTGATAATATTTTTCAGAAAAACAAAATAAGGTTTGAAATGTAATCACTATACTAAGAAATAGAAACATTATACAAAAACATTAAGCTGAGCATTAAATCTTATTCACCACATTTTCTAGCATAAAAATATCTTATTACAATGAATTAATCAAGGAGTACATGATGATCATTTGATGCCTAGTCAAACGTTATCAGCTACAATAATAGTAAATGTACTGCTGTTATGATAGGATTTCATGAGTTATTCCATTCACATTAAGTAATGCAATAAAAATTTTAACACTTCTTTGATGATCCTATATCTCACTCCAATTAGATCGTATGAATGATTGTTCTCAAAATATACATCCCGGCTGTCCTCGTACATAAATATCGACCTTAATCGCGTTAGTGAATAACGGAATTAAAATAAGTCAAATACGAGAAAGTATTTCGAATACGCTTATTTTGCACAATCACTGATCCAAATAGACGATCAAAGGAACGAAGCGAAATGAAATGACTCGCGGTAGAGAAGGCATATGAGCCGACTTGATTTAATCAAGTGGTAATCGATATCAATGGCCTATCTAAAATAACTGACAGGATAAGAAGTGCACACATATATCTATCTCTATTCACTTATCTGGGAATTTTTTGCAATGTAGCGAATTCACATGTGATCAGATCGTTTGAAAAAATAAATTACTCTAAGTGTGTTTAAAAAATTAACAAACTTAAATTGAAAACAGTTGGCTAACAAATTTTCATTTGACAGATTAATATTCTTTCTACAATTGGTTAATCATGGAATGATAACTGAATTCATTTTTGTCTAATCCTTCAGTGTAAATCATGTTCCAATATTATCAATAGTCTAAGTGAATTGACATAAAATACATTATGATTTTGGTTTTAGCTGCTTGGAGGTAATCGGTACAGAGACATGAGCTTAAGATTTGTGCTAGCTGGAACTTGTCATCAAGAAGCACTTATAGTAACGAAGGAAATGATACTTCTTGTACTATCCAAACCCTATTCAATCAGTTTTGCGATCTGAAAATTTATCCCTGAACTATAATTATATGTTAATGAAGTGTAAAAACGTTCCATGAAAATTTATTAGATTTGCCAGCGTTTTAGTTAACAAACAAACTTATTCGGTAATCATCTCATCATAGACATGAAACAATGGCCAGTACAATTCACTTGTAAAAATGTAAAAGCATTTGTGCACTTATCAAAATAGTTAGGTAAACAACAGATCTATGTACTGTATTTCATACCACACAATTCAAAAGCGAATATTGAAGACAAAGAAAATCACTCTACAGTTATATTTCAGTATCCTAAAATTACCGATCATGAAAATTACATTATCAAGCAAGACTATCAGTTTTTTAAGGTACACATTTTTCATGTCAGGATAACATTTACTGATACATCAAGTAGAATATGGCGGAAGAAACCGATTAGTTCGTCAAGTTGAGTTATGATGAAAATCCATGTAGTCAATAACTAGGAATCTATATATTACTATTCAAAATTTTATATCTGTTTATCCCGTTTTCTAATACAATGGAAATTTGTAGATTAGTCATCATAGTTCATATGTCTATGATGTCCTTAAAACTTTGAAAATTCCTCCTAAGAATATTTTCTCTCTTAGTTATTCTTCATTTTCACCTTTGTTTCCTGGTATATACTCATTTATTAGTCTATAGTAAGTTTGAATTTTTAGTTCAGTTGTATATCTATTATTATGCCAACATTACTGTTTATTTCATGGCCTTGATTTAGATAGACACTTTCATATTGTAACTGAACATGTTCATGTATATAACAAATGTAGTATATATATATATAAGTTTAACCTTTGTACAGTCTCTAATAATAACTACATTGTACAATATTACATTTTCTAATCAAATAAAATATAATAACATTATGGGTAGACTGTTGAATAGAGAAACAAATTTATTAAAATATAACTGAAGTTGAAAGTGTGAGTCAATTGAAGCTAGACCAACATGGAAAACTTGAAAGCACTTGACGGCCGTTTTGTCCTATTGTTGGACTCCAGTGCTCCAGTACTTTTCCCTGGTGATCTAGCTTCAATTGACTAACGTTTTCAACTATGAAAATATTAAATATTCACAAAATCCCTTCTGATGATAAAATATAACTGTTTGATCAGTAATTATTATATTGTAGTCATGAACTAATCTAAAAAAAAACATTGAAAATTAAGTTGAATTCTTGGTAATGAAGTTATAATTACTCATTGCTAGAGAGTTTCAAACCAGAACGAAACGCCCTTCCAAGTCTTCCAGGTTTTTAACGATTATCTAAATGATATCACTAAATAGTTTCAGTAAAATTTAACAATCTCTATAAACTTGTACTGATAATAATTATTAGTTAGTATTAAAAACCAAACTGTTATTATACACTCTAGTTATATATAATTTGAGAGGAATGTTATAAATTCATAGTATTGTTTGAATAGTTTCTATTTGTTGTACTCATAATTTCATTTATTATTGATTATAATCAGAAGGGGTTTGTGGAGATTTCAGTATTTTCATAGTTGAAATCATGAGTCAATTGAAGCTAGACCACCATGGAAAACCTGGAAGCACTGCTTGACTGCCGTTTCGTACTATTATGGGACTCCTCACCAGTGCGCATCCACGACCTCGCCTCGTCAGATGAAACAGTGAACGGTTGCTCAACTTCGTGGATTGGTTGGAGTTAGACATAAACACCATCAGATACCGGCTCAGAGGTCTATCGGTTAAGTGTTATGATGGGAGACTGATAAGTCCTGGGTTCAAATCTTGCGAGGCTAGATCATGGATGCGCACTACTGAGGAGTCCCACACTGAGAAAAAGTGGCCATCCAATGCTTCCACGTTTTTCATAGTGGTCTAGCCTTAATTGATTCATGATGATAATTATTTATAATTTGCAAGCAAACTAAATTGAATCCATTAAGTAAATGAATTTATACTTCTCTATTAGTTTACAATTATTATTCTTATTTTAATAAAATATTACTGACCAAATAGAAATGTACACTTATATGATTAGTTTAAATATGAAACTGGAT